TGTATATATATATATATATATATGTTTTTGCCAATGAGATATGGGTATATTATTATTGAAATAAGAGTACTCCCTCTTGACGCGCATAATAGCAACAAATGAAGAAAATTTCCTTTCTGCAAAATCGTACTTCTACTCAACTCTTAGAATTTTCCAGCCTAATGACGTACTCTATCTCTCTCTTTCTCGTAGATACGCGCATTATAGCGACTGTGATTTATCAGCTATTCTTATCGGTGCCCTCTTACAACGCCTGGCCCAAACTAAAAGCTCTACAAGAAGTGCCATAATTGTGGCAACGAGAGATCCATTAGACGCATGTAGGAGGGAGAAGGAGGCAACAGCCTCCTTCTCGTGAGTTAAATTTTCTTTTTAGTACAAAAATAGATTTCGGGCGCAGATCGCGCAGCCCCGTGCAGGGATATTTCAGGTTCCGCGTTACGATAAAAAGTAACCGAATCTAATGTCGTCACGCACGGATTGCCGCAGAAATGGCGTGTCGGGTTTTCTCTCGGTTGTGGAAACGCAGAATCGATACACGTTTCATTTTGACGGAAATTGCAGAAATTTTTTATTACGTTTCTCAAAGTTGCTATAATATCGTAAGGTAAGCGAAAAATTGTAATTATCGTAAGATGTCCAAAGATATGAACAAATGCGGAGAACGCAGGATGTGCGGAGAGCTAGTATGCCAACTACCACATTGACTTATAATAATATAATCGTATATATGGTACAACAATGCAAATTATATAATTAGCAATATACGCTCTACGAAAGAACGAATGAAATTCTGTTGTCAACTGGTGAATTGATGGTGTCTCGAAATTACATCGAATAATTCGACGCGAAGACGATTACGCGACGAGACTGCGCGAAGTCGCCCGATCGAAGAACAAGAATCGCCCGTTGGAAAAAAAGGGGCGAGAGCCACATCAAATCTCTTATTATCTCGGGACACGCTCGCACATACGCTCACACACCAATCGCACGTACATCCACACAAAATAATAACAGGTAGTCATAATTTTAAAAAAACGCGAACTCGTATCCTTTTATGCCTTCGATGCAATCTTAACGACGCAAATAAAAGTATATTACTGCAATAAAATACAATAATTTTCAAGATATCGAAACATATTTGAAGAGAATCTTATTAATGAACGCGCTTTTATAATTCTTCTGTATTAAAAACATTATATAGCGACCTTAAGTCTCACCGTGATTAAATTATGACATTTAATCGAAGCGACGATCCTCTGGAAAAATTCATCGTTTATGTAAGGAGATAATAAGACGAGGAACAGGATACGAGATCGTCCTTGAGTCTCTATTTTTATACGTATATTGAAACCCGACGAGCAATTGCGACTGTCTTTTTACTTATAATTTGCGTTGTGAGAACTTAGAGAACAAAGAATATGATTATCACTGTAGATCTTCGAAACACTCTAACAAAGCTCTGTCAATTTTTTTTTGTCTTCTATTTCTTTTATCCGATAAACTTTTATTCTCATCGTAGATCGTAATAAGCTCGAAAAAGTCGCTCGTCGAGTTATCAATATCGGGTGTATAAAAACGAAGAGAAAGCTCGCATCGAGCTCGCCACGTCTACATTAATTACGCGCATTAATCAATATTAATTACTAATCATATTGATCGTCGTTACGCGCGCATACTACGATCGACGAGGAAAAAAAAAAAAAAAGAACAACACAGGATCGAGGTGGAAAACATCGCGTGAGAGTAATGTATATTCTGCATTAATATACTCGCTTGTACTAAGTCTTCCTAAATTTCATCCGATGATCGTGCCCTCCTCGACAAGACGAATCGAAAGGTCTCGGCAAGAGGAGGCGCACACTCGAGTAATTACAAAGATGCGCGAGGAAAGCGCTAAGTGGATCAAGGCGCTGTCCTTGATCCTTTCGATTGTCAGACAATGCAAGATATTAATTTCTTACGCACGAGTGTTCTCTACATGTAGTGACGTACCTCGAGGAAAAGGATCTGAGAGTATAATATATATTACGTAAAACGAGATAAGATCCATTCGAGCATGCAGCGAGAAACTTCATGTAATTGCAAGAGAATTGTGAATTATTCCTGTAATATATTCCTGGAATATCTCATCTCGCGTAAAACGTTATCGTGTCGAATAATATACGCGGGCGGGCGTATTACTCCAATGAGGAGTGCATAAAACTTTACACGCCAGCACGTGCCGGCACTCATATTGTCGATCCTCCTCGCGTAAACGCGAGACTATTGTGTTATACGATTCCGCCTCTGTTATTATTCGACACGGCGATCGCTTCACTTATTATCAACATTGAACCACCGATCGACTCAGCGCACCCTCGGCTCGCATCAGAGAAAACATTCTGTCATTACTTACTGATACAATGTATACATAGTTTATCGAGCATGATACCTGTAATCGTATCCGCATTTCCATCGAAGGACGATGGAGAAAAACTAGGAAAGATACTTTAACCTCGTGCTTTTTTCGCGACGAATAAAGGAGAAAGGAAAAGATACCGTACATGGCTTGTATTTGCGTGAGTACAAGTGTATACGTGTGAGTGCATTTTTTTTATATACGTTTCTATATTTGTGTGTGTGTGTGTGTGTGTGTATTCGTGCGTGTGCGTGTGTGTGTACATGTGTATGTGTGTTACATGTGTATGTGTCATCAATATGAGAATCGATCTCAACGTAGCACTAATAAATTCTTTACCCGTCTTGAGTCCAGAGAATGTAGGGACCCAGCTCTAAAAATCCGCTACTTAAGAAGATTAAATCGTCGAGAAGTGCAACGTTAACGAAATATTGATAGAAATTTATAATGTATAATATATGTTATTTATATATATATTTATATATATATATATATATATAATGTATATACGTATATATAATTATATATATATTCATTCACACGTTCGTCCAATATATATATTATATATACTCTGGAAGGCGACAGTAGAGAGACTACTGAAGTAAATGCATAATAACATACGTAAAGAACGAAGACATTGATTTTGAAATTTCCCTCTTGCCGGTCATATCACTTTTTCTTTATTTCTTTTTACGGGAAACGCGTTTCTTCCCTACGTGCTATTGTTCCGTCAGCTTCGTCCTTTCTTCACGACAGCTATTCGGATTCATTCGACGAACCTCGACATCTATATATCGTATTCTTCTACCTTTTTTCTCTTTTACAGCGTAAATAGTACAACATACCATCAATAATCCCTTAGAAATACACCGAAGAATCTCGCGTGAATTCCTAGCGAGATTCAGAAATGACAGCGCTTCAAATTCTCGCTCGTTTTTGTCATGAGAATGCTATAGTAAGAAATAGAGAGACAAGGCGAGAGAGAAAGAGAGAGAGAGAAATTGACAGAGAGTGAAAAAGAAGGATGAGAGAGCCCTGAGTGATAAAGAGGAAGATGGTCAACGAGGAATAAAGTGAAGGATGGATACAAGAGCCTGAGAAAAAAATATCCGCTTAAATGTGTTGCACAAATTCCGGATTAAGATACGAGAAACCCATAAATTCTGTCTGGTCCAAATTCATCATGAACAGCTTATCCGTGGGAGTCAGGTCTGTCTTCTCGGAGGTGAATTGCTTGTCGAAGTTACTCACGTCCTTACGATGTTGCTGCACAAACGAGAATAAATTGTTTTAGATATTTTTTTTAAATATCCGCAACGAGATACTTACGATTTTTGGCTTAAAGGGTGGCTGCACCTCACGATTCTCTATCTTCTCCCAATCGATACGCCGGAAAAATGCGTGGCTTCGCACGTCGTCCTCCCCGCGTACTCCGCATCCTAATCTCTTGCTTGGATTCTTTGTGAGAAACTGCAAGAAGCGAAATTCGCAAGCGTAAATTAATAATTTACAATCAATTAGACGTATTATTTTTATATTTATACAAATAGATTATTTCGTAAGAAACTTCTTCTTTCACGCACATCAACTTTCAGAACTGCTTTATTAAATTTATAGAATTTACATTGAAACATTAACAGAAATCATCACTCAATTATCCGATACTAAAACTCAAGAAATTAGTTTCTTCCGATATTTCCATTGAAAGAAAATCGATCATAAGTTTCTTAAAAAGTTTTTTGTATATTATATGTATATTCAAATAAAAACTCAATATATAAGTATATCTAAACTTCTTAAGATTCCGGAAAGCTGTAGCGATGATACTGGTATATAGATGGTACGCGTACCGCTTTACAAACTTCTTTGGCTTCTTTAGATAGACTTTTCGGATAACTGACATTGTGGTCCGTAATCGCGGAAAAAAGTTCATCCTCATCCTCCCCGTCGAACGGTGGCTGACCGACTAGCATCTCGTAAAGCAATACACCGTAAGCCCACCAATCCACAGATTTGCCATAAGGTTGATATAGAATAATCTGCACAAAGATGAAAAAGTTCGACAGGTAAGACAATATCAGCCTTCGCTTTACCTCACTTTATTGGATATCTCAAAATTGATGAAAATATACAATCCACCCATTTCTCGCGATAAAGTCTTAATACAATCTCTCTCAAAAATGAAAGCCTTCTTCGAGCTTTAAAAGCAAATATAAGTAAATATAGCGTTATTTATCATTCAATTTAAAATTGACTTGTACTTCAGCAGAGAACTTTAATTTGAGGCTTAGTTACAGAATGTTGAAATTAGAAAAGTTATGAGAGAAGAGATAATCTTCCTGCAAAAGATGATCTTTACTGAGGAAAAATTGATTTTGAAATTTCGCAAGGAATGCATGTTTCCGCCGATATTCCTGAAACATCTCGTTCATGTGAGCCCCGTTTAAATATTCACCTCGGGTGCTATGTAATCGGGCGTGCCGCAGAAGGTCTTGGTAGTCTTGTCACCGGTGATGCCCTCCTTGCACATGCCGAAGTCCGCAATTTTTATGTGACCGTCCTGATCCAGCAAGACATTGTCGAGCTTGAGATCGCGGTAGACGATGCCGCGCGAGTGCAAGAAGAACAAACCGATCGCTATCTCAGAAGAGTAGAATCTGCAAATGTAGAGAGCGGCGTCACAGACGTGAAAACGTGCGAGAGAGACGTGCCATCGACGTGCGTCTCTCTCTCTCTC